GAGGCTACTCGTCAGCATTTACCATTGCTGCCTTATCAACCGTTATACAACATCCCATTGGTTTTGTGTACCCACCCCTGAATGGTCTGATTGATGAGGTATTCCGGATCTTAACAACAACAGTTCACCCCCTCAGATCAACCACAGAGATTAACGAAAAATGTTTTGTCATGTGGACAAAGGTAGGACATGTAGACTCAAACAGTTCCTGGTTTCCGAACCATTTTGTGCCTTTGCTAGTTGACAACAGTGATCAGCCAGAGATCATCTGCTTATCTGACTCGTCTTTCATCGAATCTGACGTTTATATTTCCCATATCCGGCAATCCACCCCTAACTTAGAGTACACAGAGACTGGGAATGAAGATGATGAGATTATCTTTTATCTGACTTGTCTTTCATCGAACCTGACGTATCCACCATTCACAACACAAATACTGATAATAAAGCCAACAGTGACCGTCACAATAAAGACCAGAATGAAAACAGCAAAGTATAATAGGTGAACTACAGAAACAAGGTGACAAAGATAATCTCTACAACCACTTTATGGACATTATAGAGGCATATATGCCGTCCTTACATCTGAAAAACCTGCACTTCAGAAAATTCCAACAGGGAAGAAGGAGGATCAGTTGTTTTTTTTTATAGTTCAGAATACAAGGAATAGAGAAAAACGTTTGAGAGGAAAGCAGAGTGATTTCACTGATGATTGTGTTGTTTGGGACAGTGGTAAAGGTTCCACCAAAAAAGTCGAGTTTGTCGTAGACTCTGAGGAACAGCCTAGATTCATCGAAAAATATCAAGGTGCATATTATCGAAATTGAAAAAATCCAAACTCCATTTTGAATACGCAGCCAGAACCAGAGCAAATATATGTAATCAAAAAGTACTACGCAACATTGAAGCGTGACAACAATTACAGAAAAAGAATCACCTGGATTGAAAAAGCACCAAGAAATGACAAACATGGAGAGAACAGAGTGGAATACATTGGAATTTACCCCAATGAGCATTCACATCATGGTAATGCCAAAGCCTCTACTGGTCAATACATCCGCCCACAACAAGAGGTGGTTGATGAAATAAAATCAGCTGTGGCTTCTCAGCAACCAAGAGTCACATACACAGTGACAAACATGGTTCTAGACTCATCATTTGACTGTCCCCGTGATCTCAAACAAGTTCAAAACTTCAAACAGGCCACAAAGCACCACAGTGGAGACAAAAGACATCCCCGCCAAAACTCAACTGATGAAATTCAGGCCATTCTGTCTCAGCTCAATGCAATGACCATCCGTTTGTACAGAACGTCATCATACAAAAAGGAAAACCCCCGGGCTTCATTCTCTATGTTAAGGATCAGTTAACAGACATCATGAGATACTGCTCCGTCGATGCAGCTGAGCCTTCAGTGATGGGAGTAGATCGCACTTTCAACCTTGAGGAATGCCATGTCACCTGCATTGTGTACAAGAACAATAGATTGCTACGAAAGGTCTCACAAGAGCCACCTATTATGTTAGGCCCTGTCTTTTTACATTGGGACGGACTTTATGAAAGCTATCATGCTTTCTTCTCACACTTGCAATGCCAGCTAGACAGCACAAGTCTGTCTGGCATAGAGTGTGGTATCTTGGACGTCGTGGTCGGATCTGACGAAGAAAAGAAAAGGTGATGTTAAAGGCCTTGAAACAGTGCTTTCCAAATTCAACCCAGCTTTTATGTTCTCGCCATCTCATGGAAAATGCACGACATCGGCTGCAGGACAAAGTTGGCACCAAAAAAACCCTGCAAATCGCCATACTGAATGATATCTTTGGACCAGATGGAGTCTCAAGTGCTGACACTTCATTTGATTTTGAACAAAGGTCCAATGACATCATTTCAAAAGTTGAGGAAGAAGTGCCATTCTTCTCTACATACTTGCGTGAGAAGCTTTTGCCAGCCATAGAAAAGCACATTGTGGAACCACGCTGGACGGTGGGTAGTATCCCACTGAACTGGAAGAATAACTGCTGCGAGGCCATAAACAACATACTCAAACTGGAATTCAATTGGACTCCCCACAAGCTTGCAGATATGATTGACAAAATTCAGCGCATAGTGAATCTCCAGTTTGCCGATGTAAGACGAGCGCTGCATGGACAAGGAAATTTTCAGCTGGTCCCACAGTGTCAACATTTTCAGATTTCCCACACTAGCTGGTGTCAAAAACAAAAACTGAAAAGGACAAAGCCTATGAAAACTTCATGACAAGCAGGAAGAGGAAGTGGGCAGATTTTGTCACCTCTACTGATGGCAAACGTACAATCCCTAAAGCACCAAAGCTCGCCAAGAAGTCATGCCAGCGTGCACGCCCAAAAGTTGCAAAAACAACCACTCTGAAAATGTCAAAGATTAACGAAGAGAGACAGAATTAAAGAATTTTAACTTTGATACAAAAATGTGACACACACACACTCACACAAATCAATGAATCATCATCACATCATCATTCGATTACTTTGTCATTAGCAGCAACATAATTCCTAAATCATCATCATTATCATCATCACCATTATCAAATTATGTCATCATCATCAGCAACATTACTGTCATTTTCGCCATCAACATACTTATATGTTTTCATGCTTATAATGCTTTAGATGTTAAAGTTATATTTTACTATCTAAAATTAACAATGTTGATGTAGATTCCAAAGTTTGTTACATTCATTGGTGTGAGGATTGTTTTTATGAGTGATGAAGATTCTTAAACAAACACCTGAGATATGGGTTTACTAAATCTTGTGTTTAGCATGTTAAAGTTATTTTTTACCATTTAAAATCAACAATGTTTTAAAATTATATTATGTTCTAATTAATTCACAACAAAAGATGTATTATATTCCAAACAAAGTTTGTTACATTTATTGGTGTGAGTGTGAGGATTGTTTTTATGAGTTTAAAATTGACATTTATTTATTGAGTTCCACTAGTCATACCAAAATCTAAAACATAAGATCATCTCTTAAGTCTCTGTACATAGTGGTGTTGCATTCAACTATTTTTTAAAGTTTATCTAGTCGTTCCATAATTTAAAAAGTTTGGACCAAGTAAAATCTATTTTAATTTTCTGTTCTTAAGTTATGTTACATTTGTGTTGAGGCATGGCGGAATCAGGCTCTCTTCAATATATCTATAGGTGTCTTTACATAACAGCAAAAATTTGGATGGCGGTCTCGTTAAAATTAATTAAAGTTCCAAAAGATAGTTATTAAATATATACATCTACATTTTTAATTTCCCACTAAAAATAGTGTTGAATGTTCACTAAAAATTTAAAACTGAAATCGGACCTAAATTTGACTTGAAGAGAGCCTGATTCCGCCATGTCTCATCACATTTAATCAGTTTTTCATTATTGAGTTTTACCAATCAATCATTGATTTTATTTAACTTGTACTCGTGATAGCAGTAATAATTTTTTTTTCTTTTACACATTTTGTGAAATGCTGAAATCAAGATAAAAACAAGTTAAAATTTACAAAGCACAAACAATGTATTATTCATTGCATTTTGTAGTGGTTTGATTATGTCATCAAACAGGGAGGGAGGGGGGGTGAGCCAATCGATGACATGTGATGACAAGGGGGGGGGGGGGGGGTCAAATTGGGTCATTTTTTAATGGCAAAATAAGTGAACATTCCCTGACTGTTTTTGTGTTATAATTTGGACTTCGACACACTGCTACTCCGTGTACCCTTGGAAAAGGTACATAAACCTCCATTTCTCACCCCACCCAGGTGTAAATGGGGTAGATCTACCAACCAAAGACAGCGAAGGATTTGTGATTGTAGGTGCTTCGCACATAACAGGATGCAGCACCAGTAAGAGATGCTGTGTGATTGTTGTAGTCATTGTCGTTGAGTCTGTGGTCTTTGGAATGTTATGGCCGGTCGGGGGAAAAGGTTGTGAAACACGTAGTCCAGATCTAGGTTGAATTATTATTGAACGGCTACAGGTCCCAGACAGCAATTAGTAAGAGTCCATATGAGTCATTATGAGTGCTGCTTTCCAGACGGCTCCGGACAGCCTCTGGATGGCAATTAGTAAGAGTCCATATGAGTGCTGCTTTCCAGACAGCTCTGGGCGGCTCCAGACGGCTCCGGACGGCAATTAGGAAGAGTCCATATGAGTGCTGCTTTCCAGACGGCTGTGGGCGGCTCCAGACGGCTCCAAACGGCTTCCGGACGGCTCCGGGCGGCAATTAGTAGGGTAGGACCCCCAGATTGTTCTCCTTTTTTCACAAATCTGCTGATTTCTTCCTGTGTGGACTTAGGTCTTATCTTGAAATGACTGTTTGCTTCTTTAACCATGAGAAACCAGATGATCTAGACATGATAGAGATCTAGAACTAGATAACATCTTCAGAGTGGTATCATTCTGTGTTATTTTTGTTTCAATTTTATGCCCCAGATAGATTTTCAGATCCTGACTATTTTGATCTAGATCTAAGCCTAGGCATACTGATTTAGATCTAGATCTAGATCCAGGCCTACTGCCCTAATACCTAATCTAAATTTTATTTCTAGTTTACTGAACATCAACATCTACATCTAGCTCTAGATCTATGTTTTGTAGACAAATGTCTTTCTCTGAAACAAATTTGAAAGATAAAAAAAGCCTAGATCTAGATGGATATCTGACAGATCTATACTAGGTCACAACAAACCGCCAGGCGCAGCCAACTGCCAGTGGATGAACTAATCCTTTCGACAATGAAAACTATCTTAATAAAAGTATTTTTTTCTTCTACGATTGGTCAAATGTGAATACTTACCTTACTAACAGTGCAATTAACTAACTATTTTGTTTGGATATTACTCATTTTCGAAAGGATTCATTTATCCTGAGGCAGGCGGCTGTGCCTGACGGTTTGGTGCACTATTTCAAGAAAACAAACTTAGATCTATGTAACATATTAAGCATGTCTATCCTACCATTCAAGATTAAACTATGGAGACGTCGGGTGCCTTGAAGTTGCTACAGAAACTTTTGGAAGCTGAAGAGGATAATGAGGATGTCACTGAGAACGACTGTGAAGAATACAACAACGCAGTCTCATCTGTCCCTTCATCGCTCGATCCGAAGACTATCATTGCATCATTGATTAGCCGTGCCAACTCAGTATTGTCAAATGGAGAGTCTGAACATGCGGACAGCTCTATGTCAGATGATGATGGCGATGATCCTGACTATGTGCCAACAACAAACACATCTCTTTTAACTGAAAATGACTCTTTCACTGTAACAGAAAATGGCTCTCCCTCAGTGAAGACCAACCAGAATGCTCTTGTTACCAGGAGTCCTGCCTCCAGACCCAGCAGAAGCCAGGACACTGACACTAGTGACACCACTGGTCCTGCTCCCAGACCCGGTAGGAGCCAGGACAATGACACCACTGGTCCTGCTCCCAGACCTGGTACGAGCCAGGACAATGACACCACTGATCCTGCTCCTAGACCTGGTACGAGCCAGGACAATGACACCACTGGTCCTGCTCCTAGACCTGGTACGAGCCAGGACAATGACACCATTGGTCCTGCTCCCAGACCTGGTACAAGCCAGGACAATGACACCACTGGTCCTGCTTCCAGACCCGGTACGAACCAGGACAATGACACCACTGGTCCTGCTCCCAGACCCGGTACGAACCAGGACAATGACACCACTGGTCCTGCTCAAACAAATCCGAAAAAGAGGCAGAGAAACCCATATCAGTGGAAAAAAAATGTAAGGAAAAGCAAAATAGCTAAAGGAGAAGCATATACAACAAAGACTGGGAAAGCTATGCCAGCAAGGAAAACAGGCCAGAACTGTAAGTGCAGATTAAAGTGTTTTCAGAGGATAGGTGAAGACCATCAGGACAAGATCCTGCAATCATTCAATGACATTGGGAACAAACAATGGCAGGAAATTTATTTACATGGATGTATTGACATGCATGCGCCAAAGAGAAAGAGGTCTCGCAATGGAGAAAGAGAAAATGGAAAAGACAGCAAATGCTTTACCTGTGAATATAGTGTCACACCAAATGGCGTAAAATTACAAGTATGCATGGCAAGCATTCATAGCCCTCCATGGCATTGGCAAGACTCGTCTGAAAAGGATAAGAAAGCCAACAACTACGGCTCCCCTCAAGGACATGCGTGGCCGTCATGATCACCATCCCACACTTCCATTGGAAATCAAAGACAAAATAAAACAGCACATTTCCAGTTTCCCAAAGAGAGAGTCTCATTACTCGAGGAGTGAAAATAAACATAGGGAGTACCTTGATGAACGCCTTAATGTGAAAAGAACGTGGCTACTATATCTGCATCAAAATGAGCCAGAGCAAAGGCTGCTTTATATAACTGATAAGAAGTCTATGAAACCTGCGGTGAAATATAAGTATTACTTAAAGGTGTTCAACAAAGTGTTTAACCTCAGCTTTGGTCAGCCAAGATCGGATACAGTTCCCATTTGCGACAAATTCCACATAGACATTGAGGCCACGACAGATGAAACAACAAAAAACACTCTGATCAATCAAAGAAACATCCACCAACAAAAGGCTGATTCTGCATACCATATGCTGAATCTTTACTGCCAAAAACCACAAGCTGACAGCAGCTTAGAAGTATACACCTTTGACTTCCAACAAAACCAGCCTGCACCAAGCATAAGCGCTGGAGACATATTTTATTCTAGAAGGCTCTGGACGTACAATTTTGGCATACATGACTGCAAAACGGGCGATGGGCTGATGCACCTTTGGAGTGTAGCAGAGGCAGGGAGAGGTTCTTCAGAGGTTGCCTCATGCTTGCGCCAAACATTACAGACGAGACATGAAAGATTCCGGGGTAAAAACTTGATTCTTTTCTCCGATGGATGTGCGGGACAAAACAAGAACAAAACCATGGTTTCTTTTTTGCTGGGACAGGTCAAGGAAGGCATTTATGCATCAATTCAACACTGTTTTTTGTACAGGGGCCACACATTCTTACCCAATGACAGAGACTTTTCTCACATCGAGAAATGAAAATATGTTGAAAAGGTCGATCGTCCTGAAAATTGGGAACGAATCGTCAAGGACAGCAGACTGTCCCAGCCATTCCAGGTAGAATTTTTCGACCATAACAGTTTTTATGACAACAAAACCCTCCCTGATAAGACCATCAAATCCACTCTGAAGGACTCAGAAGGTGAATAATTAAAATTCAAGGAAGTCATGTGGTTTTCCTATGGCGCAAGTTTGGAGATGAATGAGACGATGGACGAGGAAAACTTGAAAGAGCATGCAGATGAGGTGTGGTGTCGATACACTCACAATTCTATGGAACCTTGGAAGGAGAAGTATTCAAGACCCATTGGAATCAAAAGTGTGAAAAAGAGAGATCTTTTGGCTCTTGTCAACAACGGTTTGATAAGTGGAGAGAGCAGGCCGTTCTATGAAAACGTTCCTGTTCGCCAGGGCAATGTTGACGGGGAAGATGATGGCGATGACTACGCTGACTGAAAAAGTTAACTCTACCTCTATACTAAGATAATACATCCATTGACAATTTCCGTTTTTTTGCTGGCAGTCTTCCGAGATATAAATAGACGTGGTGTGTGAAAGTTTTGGTAGTTTGTATGTGGTTTTTTTCTTCTTTTTTTTTTTGCCCGGTGCCTTACCTTTCTAGTTCACCCGATTTGATTAGTTTTGTTAGTGTGTCAATGAATATCTTTTCGCTACGATGATAAAAAAAAAAAATGTAATTTACCTAGATTCGAGGATCGTCGAAGGATTGATTTGTTAGTAGTGTCCAGTTTGTAAAGTGTTATCAAAGGTTACTTTTTCTGTTTCCTTAATTCGTAGTATGTGTCCAAAATTTTCTTTATCTTGAATACTGTAAGCATATGTGTGTTTCTATCTAACACTGCTGTAAAAAAACATTCATATCTATTACCATATATTGGAAGGTAGGCCTTAGATGTTGCAGACTGTAGCACATGTTTCACGTGCCTGTATTTTTTTATACATCAGCCTCTTGGACTTAGGGTTCCTGTCGTTCTGACTGAAGAGACTTAGGTACGGTATTTAACGGCATTCAATCATTTTCCCTTAAAACATTAAACATTGAATTTTTAAGGCATCCATTCACTTGATTTAATAACCTCAATGCTCAGAGCTCTGTATTATGTTTCTTATTATAAAAATCAATCGTTTTACCTTATCAGCCATTCTATGAAGCATTTACAGTAAGAACAAATAAATTCTATAGGATACCTAAGTCCACCATTGGACAGGTTTATTCGCCTATGTGAGAGTGGACTGCTTAACTGTAAACTTAAATTTTCATTTATTTAGTGTGTATACTTGTTTTATGCAAAAATATTTAATAGACGCGGAAAAACAGTTTTTCCCATTTTCCTCAAAACTCATCAGATGTGACGTAGGTGTGGTATAGAATTGACCCCTTCAATTTCTTTCAGCACATGCGTGAATAATTTTGAGTCACGAGTTAAGGTTATAGGGGTATGCACACTGCAAGATAATTAGAAATCTTAATACAGTAAATAAGATGAAGACAGTCAAATCCCGCATAAAAAAGTTAGCAAACTTCCCATAAAACACATTGTCATAATACAGGAAAAACTGAAAAATATTTTCTCAAACCAGAGCAGTCATTCACAGACAAGTTACACATGTCGGAACAATGCTATGTGCCAGAAATTGACATGTATATGCACTGCACTGATATAATGCTAAGGTCAAGCAACATGTTCATTTTTCGAAATTAAAACTGATAGATACAAGTTATGCACTTTAAAACATCCATATCCAAAGCGAGTCACTGCTCTTTGAACAGCTGTGATTTATACACTTTGATTCTTTCATCACTACCCCACCTCAGTATAGGCTTGGTAAAATAGGCTCTGGTAGGGTAGGTGTCATGAGATCTTGGTTGACATAGGCAAGACAATGCCACGTCTTGCCTGACCACCACTGACCAGCCCATCTTTCATTTTCAGACACCGTCATGGTGAAATCACTTTTTTACAGAATTTTTGCTTTTGGCTGAACATGTTTTATGTCCTTTTTAAAACACATTTCTGTGGGGATTTTGCTGACAAACGTTGACTAAACTAAAGGCAAAAAAATGTAAATTTTCAGCTTTCAAGCACTCTCTAGCTAAGGAAGTCACCACACCATTGTGGCCATTTTCTCACTTATTTTACCAATAAAACCAGGCGACCCCCACCTCCTTCGAGAATTGCATATAATCGACTTCTATTCCAGACCAATGGGAATTTTTTTTTCACCAAAGGCAAAACAAATTAACAAGCTTTAAGATAGAACCAAAAACTCCACACGCCCGGAAATTTATAAGTGCCTGCTCCTACGGCATCATGACATATAGAATATAATGGCACTCTCCAAGACTTTCACATGTCTAAAACAACCACTTTTCTCTCCTCGACAATAGGTGGCTGTCTTGGACAATTTAAACTACTTGATCCAATATCTTCCTCATGAGGGATTCAAATTCAATTTATTGTGCATTTCCTAACCCAGACATCATAGATACTGGTCTGATCAACAAGTAAGGTAAACAAAGAAGTCAGACTTAACCACAGAATCTTGTTTACTTCTTATAATCACCATCCTAACAAGGACAAAATACTTGAGTCATTCATGCTTCAGTTCCAGTTTTGCTTTGCTATACAAAATATGTACAGTGAAAAATCAGAGCCGACCTAGGAGTTATGGAATCTTGTGTTTTTCCTTTATGCAAGCATGAGTTTGGCATGACTGCACATACCTTATTTACGACACTAAACAGGAGACTGAAATTTGGAATTTTTAAAAAGATAGGCAGAGTAATAGGACAAACAGGATCTCATCAAGCTGGCCCGTCACCAGAATACAGATGCAGTTTTGTATACCATAACAATATTGACAAACAAGTTTGGAATGAAAGGCTCAGATAAGTTTAAAAGAGGCGAAAACATAAGAACAATGCTATGAGTCATGAGAACAATCATAGAGTATGTATGCATTAAAATTAAACCAACAGAAAAGAAGAAAACGCTGATAAGCAATACGAAAAAAGGGAAGACTTCTCAGGAAATGGAGAGAAAGCATGAAGGAAAAGACTAAAAAGAAATATCAAGAAAAGTTCCAGAGCGGCCATGACCTAAACTTCCAGACCAAACTGGGACACAATTCAATGGTACAGCGATGATGATAGGTAAGAACCTGAGTGAAGGCTATGATACTTTTGTGAAGGAGACAATACCCATCCACAATGCATAACGGTTCAGCTATGTTATGAGTGGGATAGACAACATATGCTCTCCTTAAAGTGAAATCAACGTGCAAACTTACATATCTGATTTGACGAAATGACAGTTATTTTACACACTCATCATAAATTCGAAATGTAAGTCTGATCCTGCTACAAAATAACGTTACGGAACCAGAAGCTGGTTCCCCAGTCTCATGACACAAACTTTCCAGGACAAGACCATTTTGTGCTTAATGCCTTAAAAATAAGAAGATAATTGTAATGCCAAAAGAGTCACAAGAAATGAAAAAAAAGTACAGAACACAACACCAAGTCTTTAAAAAACTTATCTATAAATTCCTTGATAATAACGACACAACCTTAATGATCCCAGTATTGACCACGAAACACATGCTAAACAGCAGATTTGTGTAAGGAAAACATAATTGTAAGGCAGCGTGGTGAAATCAGGTGCTCCTCAAAATAATGAAAGTGAAGAAATTGGCATTTTTCTGCAGGTTCGGGAATTTTTATCGAATTTTTGCTTTTCGGCTCAACACATTTTACACCGATTAAAAACACATTTCAGAGTGGATTTTACTGGAAAAACATTGATTAAATGCATAAAAGATTTAAATTTTCAGAGTCCACAGGCTCTCAAGCTAAGGAACTAACCTAACAGTAACTTTGGTGGCCATTTTCTTGCTAATTTTACCTCTTAAACCAGGCGACCCCACCTCCTTCAACCGCAAATATTTCAACTTGTAACCAAAATAAATGGGTATTGTTTTCATTGAAAGCAAGGCAAATGAACACGCTTTAAGATGATGACAAAAAACAGACGAGCGCCTGATTCCACCACGTCGTGACACAATTTGACAAATCATTACTATTCAAACACTCTCAGCTGCATGCATATGGGACAGAAGTTCTGCAAGATGCCCACTGGGGCTGAAGATAAACATCCCAATCATCAGCCACATGACTAAATATCCTTCCTTCACAGGTCAAGGACACCGGCGGCGAGGGGGGGCAAAAAATGTTGATGTGGGGAGGGGGGGAACCCACCCAAAAAGTTGATGTGGTAAATTTCACTAATGATCATACATGTGACATGGCACACTGTCTATTTTTCTCTGTCTGATCGCCAGTCTCAACAGTTATCCCTTTTCCTTTACTTTTATGCCTCTCTGTAATCCCTACAGTCAGTAACACTTTTCCTGCATAATGCATATTGAACCATATTCTCAACAAACTGTCAGTGTCACCTGTACCCAGTTCATCAAAGTTTTTTTCTGTATGCAAGATCTCAGACCAAGCTTTCCATTCCCATAACTGTGATGTCTCCCTGAAAAATTGAGCACCAAAGCCAGCATGACCAGACACTTTGTTTTTTATGAGCTCATAATGCAGACTATGGCTATACGTAGGAATAGGAGATACGTCATTTCTTTTATCTTTCTTTTCCTCATAGATATGTAAAAATACAAAAACATGTGCCCACTATGGCCAGCCTTTGAGGTCAGCTTCAGAAGTGACCTTCGGATGCTCATCAATAAACTCCCTCACCAGTCGTTTTGCCTCCTCCTTCCCTGGAAATAAAAAGGAAAAGGGTATGAATAAAAAAAATCGACTCAAAACGAAAAGCAAAACAAAACACTCAAACATACCGACAGCATAAATTGTATCTGAGAACCATCGAGATCTAGCAATATTTTCTAGCTTTGCTGAACTGTAAGAAAAAAAATAATTTAGAAACCACAAACTTAAAGCAAAATATCAAGGACTATTCAAGGTAAAATAAATCTTAAAAGCAAAGAACAAGAAAGTTTCGAAAAGAGAATAAACTGGAATCCTCTTCTAAAACTGAACACAGTTCATTTGAAAACAGAGATAAACTGAAAGAAATCAAAATCCCAGATCTGAAATTTTTCTCAATAAAAGATGCAGTAGTACAAGACTAACCTGAGGTGGGCAATCCCCTAGTGGTCAGGCGCACTTGCTGGCTGATGGCCCGTGCAACAGATTTGAAAAGATCCTGTGATTACAGAAAAAGGAAACACACCATTTACAAACATAGGCGCTACTGAAACACAGTCTACGATACACAAAGAAAATATGCCATAGCGAAACATGTACACAACTAACAGATTTTCCCGTACAATATATTTTCTTAAACATGTATTTCTTTGTAATTAAAACAAATGCACAACAAAATTCATACACAATGACAGAAAAGATTTTAGCGTCTCCCGGATTTTGACATGTGCATGTAATGCTTTATGAAATCTGAATAAAGTGAGAGCCTTAGAGAGCACATTGGTACAAAGAGGACAATGAACCTAGATGAAATGACCCAAGTAGGAATGAACCTCTATATTGAAAAAGAAACCCTGTAATCCAGTAGCGATAAAGACCATATTTTACGGTACACTTCTTTATTTAAATTTAGCCTCAATTTTTTGCACTCTCTTTATAATACTGCTTCTCTGCAAAAGGCAAAGACAACATCAGTGTACGCTTACTAAACAAAACATTATTCATCTATATCTTCCTGAAAGAAAAGCTTCCAATACATTTTTCTGATATAATCAAGAGAGGTCAACTAAATTTGCAGCCCTAATGTTCTAAGATATAGTACATGAGCACTAAAGGGCTAAATATTGAATGAGACAATCAAAATTAAGTTCCTGCAATCAAGAGCATTT